GCTACCTATAGAACGACGACGAAAAAGATGGGAGCAGGAGGAGGAGAGAAGAAGAAGAAGAAGAAGAAGAAGAAGAAGAAGAAGTTAATGAGCGGAGGAGGGGGAAGAGGAGGATCGGAGGATGAGTCGGATCTGACTTGGAGGACGGTTTTTCTTAATTCTTTTTTTTGTGTCCTGTTTCGCGCTACCTATAGACGACGGCGAAAAAGACGGGAGCAGGAGAAGAAGAAGAAGAAGAAGAAGAAGAAGAAGAAGAAGATTTGTCGGCGAGAAAAATGACAGGGGAGGAGGGGAGGAAGAAGACGATCAAGTAAGGTGGAGGAAGATGAAGAAAACGATAGGGGGATGAGGGGGAGAAGAAGAAGAGGAGTGGAGGAGGAGAAGAAGAAGAAGAAGAAGAAGAAGAGCGGAGGAGGGGAAAGAGGAGGATCGGAGGATGACGTTTTGTTTTTTTTTGTGTGTGTCCTATTTCGCTCTACCTACCGAACGACGACGAAAAAGATGGAACATAGGCTGTCTCTTATACACATCTAGATGTGTATAAGAGACAGGTTTGGCCCTGCCACAGTCGCCGAAGGCCTGTTTTTTGTGCCTTTAGGAACTCAAAACATGCCGCGTCCGCCGTTGTTTCTTTTTTTTTTTTTCAAGCTGCGGGAATCCATATTTTCTTCACCAAACACAAAAGCCGCAACGCGGCAGCTAAAAAAAGTGCATGAATATTTCTTTTTCTAATATATATTAAATAGTGAAGAATATCAATTCTTTTTTTTTTGTTAAGTTGCGGGGGGCGGGGGGCTCCACACCCCAACCCCCACGCCCCCCACATCGGACTTGGCTCCATATCTTGCTTCACCACACACAAAACCCGCACTGCGGCCACTAGGAAATGCAAATGAATCTTTTTTTTCCTAATAAATAATTAAGAATATCCCTTGCTTTTTTTTTTCCAAGTTGCGGGGGGGGGGAAGGGGCGGAGGGGGTGTTCCCCCCCTCCCCTCCCCACCTCACATGTCGGGCTTGGATCCGTATCTTGCTTCACCACATCCAAAACCTACACCACGGCCACTTTTTTTTTTTTTTCTTTTTTTTTTTGGGACAAATGCTCCAGTCTATTCGTGGGGAGCAACACATGCTGGGAACCGGTCTCAGCGTCCCATATAGAATTATACAAATGATTTGAAATACCAGGGCCATTACCTGGCTTCGGCTAGGAACAATCTGAGAACTTTGAAGAGATTCTAGAAAATTTAGGAAAAGACATGGGTAACTGGTAACCTATTGCTAGGCTACTCAAGCAGCGCTTACTAAGTCAAAACGGCAAGCCACAGAAGCTCTTTGAATGCTCCGAACCCCTGGAACCCCTGGAATCCCCAACAAAACATTCTAAAATTTTCTATCACTGTCGTATTCCCTGCCGAACTTTCCCAGGCCTCATGCCCCACCCTGCTAGGTTACAGGGCAACACAACTCACCCCAGCTCCGGCCAGCATCGTACCTACACCACGGCCACTAAGAAATGCGCATTTACATTTTCTTTTTCCTAATAAATATTTAAGAATATCCATTCTTGTTTTTTTTTCCAACTAACGTCGGACGTGGATCCATATTTTGCTTCACCACACACACAACCCACACAGCAGCCACTAGGAAATGCGCATGAACATTTTTTTTCGTCTAATGAATAGTTAAGAATATCCAAACCTTTTTTTTAATCCATATCTTGCCTCACCACACAAAAAAAAATGCACCGCGGCTGCTAAGAAATGCGCATGAGCAATTTTTTTTCTAATAAAAAATTAAGACTCTGAAAATTGCAGGGCCCATGGACTTCGTTTCGAATTATTTCGACCGTGAAATAATCGTCTTGCCCATTTTGGGGCATTTTTCGTTTTCGCCACTATGTAATATATCGGCCATTGGAAAAAGTATTACATCTTCAGTGATTTTTCGAGCTCAGACCGGTCCCATGCCCAGGTATCCCGGTCGTAAAAAAAAAAGGCCCAATTTTTTTAAATTTTTTTATTTTATTTTTTTTCGCGGGGTTGTTCCGCGCTCAGTCTGTAGACCCCAA